GGTCAGTTGGCGAGAGGACCCTGGTCCCCGCCGCCGTCGAGCTTGCTTTCGTGAGGGTTGGGTTCGGGCAAACACACCGCGTGTTTTGGTGATTAAAATTCGACTAAATTGAAAGAAAAAAAGAAAGAGGTGGTTTACGCAGTAATTACTCGCCAAGATTTCTGAAGGAAAGGAAGCTGACTGCAGGCAGCCATAATTAGTTTTTCTTTTAATTAATTCATTTCTAGTTAAGGATGGTTAAAAAAAAAACTTTTAAAATGAGAAAACAGGTGGTTATTTTAAAGAGAATCTCTGGTGTTTTCATTTTAAAAAACACGGCGGATGACTAGTAATTCAGGGTCATGGATACGTTCGATCTTTCAGTGGTTTGTTTTTTGAAGCGTTCGGGTATATACGGTATTTCTGGGACTTGCAATTGTGGCATGAAACAGAGGTGTGTGCGGCATATAGAAATACAGAATTACCTAGTGTTAGTTCTGTATGCCGGGCTCTTCTCACCGCACAGGTGGAGGCTTAATAAACAGAAAGCATTATGAAGTTACCAAGAGAAAAGCAGGGAGCTCTGACACCTTCTCCTAGTTATTATATAAACTTGACCTAGAACTCTCTTCCCAGCTAGAGAAATTCCCGCCACCACGCAGAAAACAGGACAAGATTCAGGCTAATGAGACAACTAAAAGTAGGAGGTGACATTTCACTCAGCAGGTGGATGGAAGAAAATGGGAATATTCTGGAGCTGACCAAATACTGAACCCCAAAACTTGAAACAAAGAAAAATATGGAGGGGGTGGGGGGAAGAGTTTGATTCCCCCATTGGCGTTCCGTGAGGAAGCCGAGGGCCGGCACATTGGCAGGTGGGGGGAGCATCACAACCAGCCTCGGGAGGACACGCAGGGCTGCTGAGCTGGGCCGGTGACCCCCGACTGGTCCTCGGCGCGGGGCAAGCGGAGCAAGATCCGTCCTCAGAGCAGCTTACGGCTGAGTCTGCTCCGTGTTTGCGGTGCTGTCCTACAGCGAGATGGTGCCTAGCGTGAGCTGCCGGCATCCACGTGGCTACTGAAAAATTAACGCAATTTGCACTTAGTCGTGATCCGCTGTCAAGTGCTCTGAGTCTGCTTACACGTACCGAGCGACGTGTTGGAGCGTAAGCGGCTCCAGAACGGGTGCGCAGTCCGATCCAGTTCTGTGTGGGAGCTGACGGTGGCTGTTCCCAGCAGAACGATGCTCCCTGGCCGATGGAGAACGGCTCCTCAGCCCTCAGGAGCTGCCTGTCCAGGCCTTCACAGTGGACACAGCAGCCAGAGAGATGCTCCTCAGTGCTCTGACGTTCCCTCTTTGAGCCGTCCCACAGCCGACCTGCCATGCACCCCTGCTTGGCACGGAGAGCTCGACAGCCGTGCGGGGAGGGCTTTAGGAAACCCAAAGGTACAGACCGACACGCTCCTCGTTTCGGCCGTCTCGCTGAGGACTCCTCAGCTGATGTGAGTCCCCGCAAGCTGTTTTATCGAGTTTCCTCTGTCTGCATCAGTTTACCCAGAGCAGAAACACGTTGTCGCCTCCTGTGCCATCCTGATTTCAGCTCTGTGCGAGCCAGTAGACAGACAGACAGACAGACAAGGGTACACTTTATTACCGAAGGGCATAGAAAATGCTAGATGGTTACAGTTTTCCTGATTTTCAGAGCATCACCAGAAGAAGCCTGAAGTAGATTCACCACTGAGAGCACAGTGATATGCGGGTGGCATTGTAAATTACAGCATGTTTCAACAAAAAGCTAGGCAAGGTGCTGCCTCAGACGTGGCGACCTCAGCCAAGGCTTTGACTTGGGGAATTCTTTCTACGTATGAAAGCCAAACTGCTCACCGCCGCGGATGAAATTCTGGCTCTGCGCGAGAGGCTGCCGAGCCATGTATGGCCCCGCTGAATTTCTGGCTCGGCGCGAGAGGCTGCCGAGCCATGTATGGCCCCGCGGGGCACGGACGGGTGTTTCGGCTTGACAGGCAGATCAACACCGTTCCGTCTGGAGCTCCCCTCGCCACTCCGCTGCCCGGTGTCAGGAACAGTCAGCCACCAACCAGCACAGAGCAGGACAGCTTGTCTGAGTTAGTAGCTAGTGTTGTTTCTAAAAGGGAGAAAAATAACCATTTCCTCCTAATAACAGCCATTAGCATTAGCATGTCCAAAGAAGAGCAGCGAGGCTGGTGGAGGGTCTGGAGAACAAGTCTTACGAGGAATGGCTGGGGGCGCTGGGGCTGTTCCAGCTGGGGGAG